CCAGATGCCGAGAGCTTAAAATTTTCTGGATGCAAAACAGACCCTCTTCATCCTTTTCCCAACTCTCAAACCCTAATGACTGCAGGAAAGGAGAAAAAGATACGCATAAAATTGAAGCATTTATATCCAATTTTTACTTACTACTTGAAAACGAAAGAGCTCTAAAATTAGAGAGCAGCGTTTATTAATGGATCTGAGAGTGGTTTATAGTGGTATTATGGCATAGCTCTTAATAAAGTGCAAAAAAAAAAAAAAGAAACGCAAAATGCTGCAAACAACCACTAGAGAGATAAACTTCCTGATTCCAACTCAAAAGGAAGGAAGGAAGGAAGGAAGGAAGGGAGGGAGGAAAGAAAGAAAGAAAGAAAGAAAGAAAGAAAGAAAGAAAGAAAGAAAGAAAGAAAGAAAGAAAGAAAGAAAGAAAGAAGAGGGAGGGAGGGAGGAAGGAATAAGAAAGAAAAAGAAAGAAAGAAAGAGAAAGAAAGAAAAGAAAAGAGAAAGAAAGAAAAATAAAGAAAGAGAAAGGAGGGAGGGAGGGAGGGAGAAAGAAAGAAAGAAAGAAAGAAAGAAAGAAAGAAAGAAAGAAAGAAAGAAAGAAGAGGGAGGGAGGGAGGAGGAAGAAGAAAGAAAGAAAGAAAGAGAAAGAAAAGAGAAAGAAAAATAAAGAAAGAGAAAGGAGGGAGGGAGGGAAAAAGAAAGAATGAAAGAAGAGGGAGGGAGGGATGAAGAAAGAAAGAGAGAAAAAGAGAGAAAAAGAAAGAAAAGAGAGAAAGAAAAATAAAGAAAGAAAGAAGGAAAGAAAGAAAGAGGAAGGGAGGGAGGGAGGAAGAAAGAAAGAAGAGGGAGGAAGGAAGGAAGAAGAAATAAAGAAAGAAAAAGAAAGAAAGAAAGAAAGAAAGAAAGAGGGAGGAAGGAAGGAAGGAAGGAAAAGAAAAAAGAGAGAAAGAGAAAAAAAAAAGGGATAGCCATGGAGGTTGGCGTGGGTGTGGGTGTGTCAAAATCCGCAGGCTTGTGTGATGATTGAAACTCCACCTGTTTCGTTAGCGTAGGCATCTTGCAAATTTGGACATCACCTGCTCCTCCAGTACATCTCTGGGCGTGCCAAATAAATTCACCACCCGAGGAGCATTTGAACCTGGGACTCCTTCAACTGCCCCACGGTTTCTTTTACACCAGGGGTCCCCAACCTCTGGGCTACGGCCCACCCATGACCCGTGAGGGGTTTGCAACTGGGACCACGGAAACAGCCAGCAAGCAGGCACGCACACGCACACGCACACACACACACGCAAGCAGCAGGCTTGGTAGGTGCTGTGTGCAGGCTGCTGACACGGAGCAATCCCTCTACCCCCCCCCCCCACCAACCCGTAAAGTCGGGGGACCCTGTTTTAAGCCCCAAACCACAGCAGTCCTCAGACATACAGGCCGTCCTCGACTTAACAAACATTTGTTTAGTGACCGTTCAAACTTATAACGGCCCTGAAAAAAAGAGAATTATGACCATTTTCCACACACCCCTGGTCACGTGATCAAAACTCAGATGTTGGGCAACTGCTTCATATTTATGACGGTGGCAGTGTCCCAGGGTCATGCAATCCACTTTTGCGACCTTCTGACAAGCAAAAGCAATGGGGGAAGCCAGATTCACTTAACAACCGGGTTACTAAGTTGGCAAATGGAACAGTTCACTTAACAACTGTGGCAAGGAAAGTCGTAAAATGGGGCAAAACTCACTTAACAATTGTTTCACTCAGTAGAATAGAGTAGAAAATATGGAATGGAATAGAATGGAATACGATGGGATAGGATAGGATAGGATAGAAAATATGGAATAGAATAGAATAGAATAGAATAGAATAGAATAGAATAGAATAGAATAGAATAGAATAGAATAGAATAGAAAATATGGAATGGAATGGAATGGAATGGAATAGAAAATATGGAATGGAATGGAATGGAATGGAATAGAATAGAAAATATGGAATGGAATGAAATGGAATAGAATGGAATGGAATAGAATAGAATAGAATAGAATAGAATAGAATAGAAAATGTGGAATGGATAGAATAGAAAATATGGAATGGAATGGAATGGAATGGAATAGAATAGAATAGAATAGAATAGAATAGAAAATATGGAATGGAATGGAATGGAATGGAATAGAATAGAACAGAACAGAATAGAATAGAATAGAATAGAAAATATGGAATGGAATGGAATGGAATAGAAAATATGGAATGGAATTCAATGGAATGGAATGGAATAGAATAGAATAGAATAGAATAGAATAGAATAGAATAGAATAGAATAGAAAATGTGGAATGGATAGAATAGAAAATATGGAATGGAATAGAATGGAATGGAATAGAAAATATGGAATGGAATAGAATAGAATAGAATAGAATAGAATAGAATAGAATAGAATAGAATAGAATAGAATAGAATAGAATAGAAAATGTGGAATGGATAGAATAGAAAATATGGAATGGAATGGAATAGAATAGAATAGAATAGAATAGAATAGAATAGAATAGAATAGAATAGAATAGAATAGAATAGAATAGAATAGAAAACCTTTATTGTCGTTTTTTACTGTGGGCACAACGGCACACATGAAAAATGAAATTTAGTTGCTTGCTCTCAAAGTATACACATACATAACACACATTTAAACATATATGAAGAACATATGTATATGTTGGAATAGCAGAGTTGGAAGAAATCTTGGAAGTCAACTAATCCTCCACTCATGACGCAGCCAAAATTTCTGGAGGCAGGTGGTTCCACTGGTTAATTGTTCTCACTGTCAGGAAATTTCTCTTTAGTTCTAGGTTGCTTCTCTCCTTGATTATTTCCACCCGTTGCTTCTTGTCCTGCCTTCAGGTGCTTTGGAGAACAGCTTGACTCCCTCTTCTTTGGGGCAGCCCCTGAGATACTGGAACACAGCTATCATGTCCCCCCTCATCCTTCTCTTCATTAAACGAGACCAGTGGTTCTCAACCTGTGGGTCAGGACCCCATTTGGGGTCAAACGACCATTTAACAGGGGTCGCCAAACAACGCAGTCCGCCATTTTTTTCCCCTTTTCCTTAGCTGTGCTACTCCCTTTTATTCTATTGGCTTTTGAAAGCCAATAGAATAGACTCTCTTGAATAGAGTCTAATTCTATTGGCTTTCAAAAGCCAATAGGAATTGTCCATGCTGTCTCTGCCCTGCTGAGCCCACCAAAAGTCCCATTCTGCAAACGGTGCTGCACCAGTTGAGTAGTCCTCGACTTACGACCGGTTGAGTAGTCCTCAACTTACGACCGGTTGGGGGTCACAGCATTAAAAAGGTTGAGAACCACTGAACTAGACATTCCCAATTCCAGCAGCCATTCCTTATATGTTTTAGTTTCCAGTCCCCTGATCATCTTTGTTGCTCTTCTCTGCACTCTTTCTAGAGTCTCAGCATCTTTTTTACATCGTGGTGACCAAAACTACATGCAGTATAAATTTTGGGCTAAATTGGCGTTGTAACTTGAGGACTACTTGTAGTCCTCAGGCTTGGGGAAGAGTGTGAGTGAGTCTGTGTGTTTGTGTGTCTGCGTGCTTTTCCCAATGTCTGTACATTGCCGGCGTTTCTTCCTGGGGCCGCATCCGTCCATCTGCAGGCAGGCAGGGAGGCCTGGTGGACTAAATGGGACTCTTGGCTTTTTTCCCACTTCTCCACAAAGCACCCCGACTCTCTTAATATTCCTTTTATTTTTAAAAGTTGAGTCGATCAATAACGCAACCCTGGGCGTCGGAGGGAAAACTACTCAGCGAAGGTTGAAGGTTGAAGCCGCAGTCGTTCCTGTCCCCCTCCCACCAGCCCAGACCCAAAATTTGCTGACTCCACCAGTTGCCGGGCAGACCGAAGGGGCCTCTGTTGTGTGCAATTTGGAACACGGCTCGCTGCCTCTGTTGTGAAGGACAGAATGCTCTTTTTTAAAGGAGAGTTTTTTTGAGAATTTGGAAAAAAATCAGAGAAGAGACTAAAACATATGCAGGAGAGCCGGTTGGACAACTTTGGGCCAATCCCCAGGAGATGGGGAGTTCTAATAATAATAATAATAATAATAATAATAATAATAATAATAATATAGAGAAAGTCATAGAAAATGATAAAATTAAACTGCTCTGGGACTTCAGAATTCAAACAGACAAGCACTTGCAACATAACACCCCAGACTTAACAATTGTCGATAAGAAAGACAAAAAGTCTGGATAGTGGACGTGGCAGTGCCTGGAGATAGCAGAATAGAAGAGAAAGAACTGGAGAAGATAACAAAATACAAAGACCTACAAATAGAAATAGAAAGACTGTGGCAAAAGCAATCAAGGGTAGTACCAATAGTGATAGGCTCCTTGGGTGCAATCCCAAAACAACTGGAGCACCACTTGAACACCATTGGCATTGACAAATTCGCTATTAGTAAATTGCAAAAGGCGGCCTTACTAGGAACTGCTTCCATCCTGCGACGATATTTGTAATACCATCAAACATCCACATCTGCCTATCCCAGGTCCTGGGTAAGGACTCGATAGGTAGACAAAATGCCAAATCCAGTCTGAACATCTGGCTGACTGTGCGATGATCAATATAATAATAATAATAATAATAATAATAATAATAATAATAATAATAAAGTTGGAAGGGAGCTTGGAGGTCATCTAGTCCAACCCCCTGCTCAGGCAGGAAACCCTATACCATTTTGGACAAATGGCTGTCCCGTTTCTTCTAGTCCCGCTGTTAGGCATGCAAGTGGGCTGGGTGACTTTGGGCCAATCACCAGGAGACGGTGAGTTCTAGTCTCGCCTTAGACATGAAAGCTGCTGGGTGAGTTTATTGTTGTGGGGAAAGTAGGAGGAGGAAGGTGTGTTGGATACATTTGTCATCTTGAGTTATCTATTAAAATAATAAAGGCACGATACAAACAAATAATTACCTTGGCTAGTTTTTCTAGATCGTGCTGTTAAATTTTATTATTGGCTGCCCATTCGTTTCAAGATGTAGAGATCACCCTTCGATTTTAAACCAATATTTGGGGCAACTGGCACCCAAGCCAGAGTAATCTGCAAAAAACTGCTCAGGAAGATTTGATCCCAGGAGAGACGCGTAATTGGGGTGGCCAGCTCAGTAGTAAGTTTCCCGTTCAACCCAGCCCCCTGGGTGATGGCGCAGAAGCAGCTTGCGGATTTCGTCGTAGACAAAGATGAACACCGAGAACGGGAGCGCGCACAGCCACCACGTCACTCGAAGCGGATACATACGTAGAGCCACTTCCAGTCCCGGGCAGTAGGAGAGGAACGCCGCCAAGGCGGTCTCTTCAAGCAGGCCGAAGACCATGATCTTGTTCCTCATGCCTTGCTGGAAGAAGGACAGCTTCCTGGTCTTGCAGATGATGAGGTCGGCCCACTGCACAATCACGATACTGATGAAGAAGGCCGTGTGACAGGTGTACTCCACCACTTTGCGCTGCTTGTACGTCCACTCCTGGCCGTAGCTGTCCTCCAAGTCATTCAAGTTGTGGTCGTCCCATTGCAGGCGGATCCCCAGCAAGGTATACGGGAGGAACCCGTTCTCGGCCATGATCACGAAGTAGGTGAAGAAGCCGGCCAGAACTTGCATCATGCCGATCTGTCCGTACGCCATGCTGATCAGGCGCTCGTTCACCAGCTTGTCCGTCTTGGCGTTCCGCGGCTTCCTCTTCATAATGTCGCTCTCGGCTTTCTCGTAGGCCAGGGAGATGGCGGGCACCATGTCGGTGCCCAGGTCAATACACAAGATGGTGATGGTGCCCAGGGGTAAGGGGATGTTGAAGACGATGTACACAAGGAAAGGTGAGATCTCTGGGATGTTGCTGGTCAAGGTGTACGCGATGGACTTTTTCAGGTTGTCGAAGATCAGGCGGCCTTCCTCCACGCCGGTCACGATGGAGGCGAAGTTGTCGTCGAGGAGGATCATGTCAGCAGCTTGCTTGGAAACATCGGAGCCTGTGATGCCCATGGCAATGCCAATGTCAGCTTTCTTGAGGGCTGGGGAGTCGTTCACCCCATCTCCGGTCACAGCTACGATGGCCCCCTGCCTCTGACACCCTTCCACGATGATCAGCTTCTGCTGCGGAGACGTGCGAGCAAAGACAATCTCCGAATGACTCGAGAGGATTTTGTCCAGCTGCTGGGAAGTCATATCCTTAAGTTCGGAACCATGAACGACACACGCCTCGGCTTCCCGGGGATCGACTTGGCTGACCGGGATCTTCAGGCGATCTGCAATGTCCTCAACCGTCTCGCTGCCTTCAGAAATGATCCCTACCCCCTTGGCGATAGCTTTGGCTGTGATCGGGTGGTCACCCGTTACCATGATCACTTTAATCCCAGCACTGCGGCACTTACCGACGGCATCTGGCACAGCCGCACGAGGTGGGTCAATCATGGAGATGAGCCCCACGAAGCAGAGCTTGGTGGTGGGAAAGTTAGGTTTCTCCACGTCGAACTTAAAGCCGCGTGGAAACTGTTTGTCGGGGAGGTACAAGTGGCAGAAGCCAAGGACTCTCTCGCCTAACCCCCCCAAATAATTGTAGGTGTTCAGAAAATCTTCCTGCATCTTCTTCTCCAGAGTCACCTCTTTTCCTTGCAACAGGATGGTGGAGCAACATTCCAAGATCCGCTCCGGAGCTCCCTTCATCACCAGGAGGTGACCTTTGGACTTGTCGGCAGCTTCGTGGATGGAGAGCTGGTATTTGTTGGTGGAATTGAAGGGGATCTCAGCGACTTTGGGATTCCTCTCCCGCATATCTCTGACAGACCCCCAGGACAGCTCAATACATTTAAGGAGGGCCGACTCGGAGGCGTCTCCAGTCGTCCCCTTCTTAGCAATGGGAATGTTCTCCTGGTCTGCTTTGAAGTCTGCTCTGTTGCACAGACCTGCAATGTGGGCCAGTGCTAGCCACGTGGGCGAGCGCGTGTTAAAGATGGTCCCGGCGTGAATCTCGGTGGTGTTGGCTTCGTAGGTCTCACCGTCAAACCACATGTGGGCGACAGTCATGCGGTTCTGGGTGAGCGTTCCCGTCTTATCCGAGCAGATTGTTGAGGTGGACCCCAGGGTCTCCACGGCTTCTAGGTTTTTCACCAGGCAGTTCTTGTACGCCATCCGGTGGGCAGTAAGGGTCAAGCAGACAGTGACGGTGGCTAGCAGACCTTCAGGTACGTTCGCCACAATGATGCCGATCAGGAAAATCACAGCCTCCAGCCATTCGTAGCCAAGAATCATGGCCAGGATGAAGAACGTCACTCCTAGGAAGACGGCGACTCCGGTGATGATGTGGATAAAATGTGCTATTTCATTGGCAATTGGTGTACGGCGCTCAGTCAAGCCGGAAGCCAATGAGGCAATGCGACCCATCACGGTGTGGTCCCCTGTCAAGATGACGATGCCCCGAGCTGTGCCTTCAACACAATTCGTGGAGAAGAAACCAATGTTCCGGGTTTCCAGCGGGTTGTCGTTGGTACACTCAGCTGCACGGCTTTGTGGCTCTGACTCCCCGGTCAGAGAGGAGTTGTCAACTTTGCAACCCATGGCAGAGATGATCCTTAAATCCGCGGGAATGCGATCGCCCCCTTTGACCTCCACCAGATCTCCCAAGACTACCATCTCAGCGTTGATCAGCAGTTTTTCACCCTCCCGGATCACCAGCGCTTGCTGGGGAACCATGTTCTTGAAGGATTCCATGATTTTGGAGCTTTTGGCTTCCTGAAAGTAGGAGAAACATCCAGTCACGATAACCACGCCGGCTAGCACGGCACCCAGATACAGGTTGTCCTTATGTGCTTTTTTACCCATCATGGTTTGCACCCAGTAGGCCAGGAAGCAAAGAATGGCGCCGATCCAGAGCAGGATGGAGAATCCGCCGAAAAGTTGCTTGCAAAATTTGATCCACTTCGGCGTGGTTCGTGGGGGAGTGAGCGCATTTGGGCCGTATTTTTCCAAATTCTGGGCGGCCTGCGCCCTGGTCAATCCTTTGGAGAGATCCACCTGGTACTTACGGCTGAGTTCCTCAAGAGACAATTTGTGATCATCAAGGTGCACTTCTTTCTTCAGCTCCTCCAGTTCTTCCTTCACCTTGGATTTTTTCTTCTTGACGCGGGATTCCTTCTTATTCATGGTGAAGGCCGGATCCTCTTAACGTTCCTCTTCAGAGAAGTACAGTGCAGTTACTGGGGGAAGGAAGTGGCAGAAGGAGAGAAGGAGGAACTTCTCTCCAAAAGAGGAAGCAGAAGAATTAAAGATTGGGAAATCAAGGTTCCCCAACAAAAATCCAAAAGAGGCAACGTCTTTAGCAAACCCTCCAAAGTTTAACATCCCAAGATCTCAGCTCCATCAGTAGCCACAAAGGACAAATCCATTGTCCTGCAGTTGGGCAACCCAACAATGTCCGTCTCCTAGCAACCAAAAAGTAACTGCCTCCTTTGGTGAGGTCACAACTCCTAGCAACTGACAGAATAATAGAGCTGGAAGGAATTCTGGAGGTCTTTGAGTCCAAGGCTTTTCAGCCAGTGGTACGGGTACCACCTGTGGTACATTGGCCCCTGGCAGGGGGTACGCGACCATCCTAGAAAAGTGGTAGCGGGGGAGGGGAATGAGCTGAACCGGTGGGAGCACCGCACAAGCCTGAGCGAGAGACGGCTGGAGCTTCAGGGCTGTCAGGGCTCAGCGGAAGCGCCAGGATCAGTGGCAGGATCAATACCAGGCTCCAGCTGGAGCTCGGCGCTGATCCTGGCGCTTCTGCTGAGCCCTGAAGAAGCACCAATCAGCTGGAAAGCAGCGCTGATCCTGGCTCTTCTGCTGAGCACAGAAGAAGCGCCGATCAGCTGGAACGTTGCAGCATCTCCAGGGTCTTGTAATTTACATTCAGATGCTTGGCGACTGATTCATATTTATGACGGTCACAGTGTCCCAGGGTCATGTGAAGTGACCAAAACCTGCTGCAACCACCCAGCAGACGGGGGGAATAAAAACCAAACACCCCCCCACCCCACCTCCGCTGCCAATCCTCAACAGAAATGCTCACAACAATGAAAACCTCGGACAGGAGGAAGAGCACCGCCGGGCGGGCAGGCAGGTGTCTTGCTCGGCTGTGGCTTGGAGGGCACTTTTTTCAGTGCTATTGTAACTTCGAACAGTCACTAAGCGAACTGTTGTAAGTTGAGGACTTTATCACTTTTTTCCTTTTTTTGGTCATCAAGTTTTTGACGATGCATTAGTGGGTTTTGGGTTGCAGTTTGGGCACTCGGTCTCTAAAAGGTTCGCCAACACTGGTCTAGTCTAAAGAAAAGAAGAAATAGGGGAGACATGGTAGCAGTGTTCCAGTATTTGAGGGGCTCCCACAAAGAAGAGGGGTCAACCCTATTCTCCAAAGCACCAGAGGGCAGGACAAAGAAACAATGGATGGAAACTGATCAAAGAGAGAAGCAACCTGGCGCAGCAGTTAGAGTGCAGTACTGCAGGGCACTTTAGCTGACTGTGTTCAGCAGGTCAGCGGTTCAAATCTCACCGGCTTAAGGTTGACTCAGCCTTCCATCCTTCCGGGGTAGGTAAAATGAGGACCCAGATTGTTGGGGGCAATGTGTATATGTATGTATGTATGTATGTATGTATGTATGTGTATATATATATATATATATATATATATATATATATATATACACACACACACACACACACACACACACACACACACACACACACACATTGCTTACTGGTGTACACCGCTTAGAGAGTGCTTGCACTTAAAGCGGTATATAAGTCTCATAAATAAATAAATAAACTTCCTAACAGTGAGGAAAATTAACTAGTGGAACAGCTTGCCACCAGAAATCATGGGTGCTCCATCATTGGAGGTTTTTAAGAAGAGATTGGACAGTCACTTGTCTGAGATATAGGTATAGGTCCTCTTGCTTGAGCAGGGGGCTGGACTAGACCAGGGCTTTTCAACCTTTTCACCCATTGTACCACTTTTAGGATATGGCAACATCTGAGTACCACCAGTCGCCGAGCAAGGTGTCAAAAATGTGATGACCCCCCCCCCAAAAGTAAAATAGTGATAAAGTACAGGTAGTCCTCGACTTACAACAGTTCGCTTAGTGACTGTTCGAAGTTACAGCGGCACTGAAAAAAGTGCCCCCCAAGCGACAGCTGAGCAAGACACCTGCCTGCCCGCCCGGTGGCGCTCTTCCTCTTGTCCGAGGTTTTCATTGTTGTGAGCATTTCTGTTGGGGATTGGCAGCGGGGGTGGGGTGGGGGGGTGTTTGGTTTTTATTCCCCCCGTCTGCTGGGTGGTTGCAGCAGGTTTTGGTCACTTCACATGACCCTGGGACACTGTGACCGTCATAAATATGAATCAGTTGCCAAGCATCTGAATGTAAATCACAAGACCCTGGAGAGGCTGCAACATTCCAGCTGATCGGCGCTTCTTCTGGGCTCAGCAGAAGCACCAGGATCAGCGCTGAGCTCCAGCTGGATCCTGGCGCTGATCCTGGCGCTTCCGCTGAGCCCTGACAGCCCCGAAGAAGCGCTGATCAGCTGGAAAGCGGCACTGATCCTGGCGCTTCCGCTGAGCCCTGACAGCCCTGCAGCTCCAGCCGTCTCTCGCTCAGGCTTGTGCGGTGCTGCCCCCGGTTCAGCTCAATCCCCTCCCCCGCTACCACTTTTCTAGGATGGTCGTGTACCACCTGCCAGGTGCCAATGGACCACAGGTGGTACCCGTACCACTGGTTGAAAAGCCCTGGACTAGATGACCTCTAAGGTTGTTAAGTGAATCCGGCTTCCCCATTGACTTTGCTTGTCAGAAGATTGCAAAAGGGTTTCACGAGATCATAGGACGCTGCAACTGTCACGAAGTCCCTGCCAGTTGCTAAACATCTGGATTTTGATCACATGATCACGAGGATGCTGCAAAAGTCCTGAGTGTGAAAATGTCGCTTCAGTGCCATTGTAACTTTGAATGGCCAGTAAATGAACGGAGAAGGATTTTTTTAAAAAAACTTCTTTTCAACACGATAATCGGAGAGAAATTACAGGAAGGGTTGGGATTCGGCTTCTCAGGAAACAGACCAGGATGGGACCAATCCTAGGAAAAGAAACATGGACCCCTATCAGAGAGAGAAGAGCAGCAGAGGTTGGTGGCTGCTCCAATCTAAAGCTATCAATTGCAGTGGTGGATGGGAATGGAGAATTCTGGGAGTTGAAGTCTATCCATTTCAAAGCATGCTGGCTGGGGGATTCTGGGAGTGGAAGTCCACCCCTCTTAAAGCATTTTTGCTGAGGGATTCTGGGAGTGGAAGTCCACCCCTCTTAAACAGGCTGGCTGGAGAATTCTGGGAGTGGAAGTCCACCCCTCACAAAGCATTTTTTGCTGGGGGATTCTGGGAGTGGAAGTCCACCGCTCTTAAAGACGCTGGCTGGGGAATTCTGGGAGTGGAAGTCCAGCCATCTTTAAGCATTTCTGCTGGGGAATTCTGGGAGTGGAAGTCCACCCCTCTTAAACATGCTGGCTGGGGGATTCTGGGAGTGGAAGTCCACCCATCTTAAAGCATGCTGGCTGGGGAATTCTGGGAGTTGAAGTTCATCCATCTTAAACATGCTGGCTGGGGAATTCTGGGAGTGGAAGTCCACCCATCTTAAAGCCTGCTGGCTGGGGAATTCTGGGAGTGGAAGTCCACCCTCTTAAAGCATTTTTGCTGGGGAATTCTGGGAGTGGAAGTCCACCCCTCTTAAAGCAGGCTGGCTGGGGGATTCTGGGAGTGGAAGTCCACCCCTCTTAAAGCAGGCTGGTTGGGGAATTCTGGGCCTGGAAGTCCACTCATCTTCCAGTTGCTGATTTTGCAAAAACCCCGCTGAGAGCTTGCTTGCGTTTAGATGTCGGCATGTGTGTGAGCCAATGCTGGGGGCAAATGGCGCAATCCAGCCTGGAGGGTCTTGCCTTCCTGTCCCCGTCCTCCCCACAGGACCTGGCGATCGATCTGAAGGTCAATGACCGCCTCTCGCTCTCTCCAGAGTGTTTGCGGCCGTCGGGCGCGTCTCTCCCCAGCTCAACCCCAGCCACTCAGCAACAATTGACTGCAATCTGTTCGTTCTGCTTGCTCTGCCTTTGCAAGGGGAAATTAATAAATCCATACAAGAACAGCGCTGCATTCGTCTGCTCGCTCGCTCCGCGAGACACCTGCTTTGATTAGATCTAAACGAGATCGGAGGGGTCCTTGGTGGCCTCTGAGCTGGGTGGGTTTTCTTATGGACCTTCTGCTAGCCCAGTGGTTCTCAACCTTTTTAATGCCGCGACCCCCCCCCAACCGGTCGTAAGTCGAGGACTACTCAACCGGTCGTAAGTCGAGGACTACTCAACTGCTGCAGCACCGTTTGCAGAAGGGGACTTTTGGCGGGCTCAGCAGGGCAGAGACAGCCTGGACCATTCCTATTGGCTTCTGAAAGCCAATAGAATTCGACTCTATTCAAGAGAGTCTCTTCTATTGGCTTTCAAAAGCCAATAGAATAAAAGGGAGTAGCACAGCTAAGGAAAAGGGGGGGAAAAATGGCAGACTGCGTTGTTTGGCGACCCCCGTGAAATGGTCGTTCGACCCCAAATGGGATCCCGACCCACAGGTGGAGAACCGCTGGGCTAGCCAAACTAGGTAACATCGACAACTCCGAATGCCACAAAAAGCGGTCCAGAGTTTCTTTCGGTGCCTCGTGGTCTCAGCTGAAAACACAGGATTTTATCCAGTTGTAAGGGTTGACTCTAGAGACTTTGGTGCACTGATGAGGTTACCTGGTTGGGTCATGAAACGTCTGCAAGAAATCGACCAAGCTCAGAGAGCACCAACGACCCCACAGTCCTTCTCCTTCTCCTCCTCCTCCCTCTTTCTCCACAAATCCCTCTGCCTTCTAGCACTGGTGATGTTACCTAGTTGGGTATTGAAACGCCTGCAAGAAAACCACCCAGCTCAGAAAGCAGCAAGGACCCCACAGTCCTCCTCCTCCTCCTCCTCCTCCTCCTCCTCCTCCTCCTCCTCCTCCTCCTCCTCCTCCTCCTCCTCCTCCTCTCTGCAAACCCCACTCTTTTGTAGCACTGATGAGGTTACTTAGTTGGGTATTGAAACGCCTGCAAGAAAACCAACCAGCTCAGAGAGTACTAAGGACCCCACAGTTCTCCTCCTCCTCCTCCTCCTCCTTCTCATCTTCATCCTCCTTCTCCTCATCATCTTCATCCTCATCCTCCTCTCCACAACCCTGTTCCCTTGTTGCACTAATGATGTTACCTAGTTAGGTCACGAAACATCTGCAAGAAATCTACCAAGCTCAGACAGCACCAAGAGCGCCACAATTCTCCTCCTCCTCCTCCTCCTCCTC